CATCTATGCGGCTTGGCGCTTTCCTCGGCTGGATGTCAGGTAACATTGCCGTGTTGCTTTTTGGTCTCCACACACTAGCCCCACTCCGTATGGGGTCAAGACTTTAATAGCTAGGTGGAATGTGGAGATAGAGGCTTGTAGAGCATTCAAGGTTGGCCGACTGAGGATGGCATTGTATGACGAGAGGCACTGGACGGTGATGAAGTCCACCATTATCGTGGTTGTTATATCACCATCATCGATCAACAGGGGCACTGTGATCTTCCCTTTAGGCATGAGGGACTCTCTAGAGAAACCCATCAGGGGAGTGTTGATCGGGGTGAGTCATTCCTTCTTAATGCCGAGTTTTTCAGAGGCTTCTTCGAAGAGGATGCCAACTGAGCTTCCTATGTCTAATAGGATGCGCCGGACTTCGAAATCTGCTATCTCGGCTATGATCACCAGGGCATCATCATGTGGGGCCTTAACCCCCCTGAGATCATCGTCAATGAAGGTGATTGGATCCTCTCTCCTTCTCTTCAGTTCCCTGTCATCGATCTCGAGGAGCCGTGCATAAGCCTTGTGGCTCGAGTTGCTGTCACCTCCGGTAGTCATCCCTCCTGAGATTACGGCGATGACCTCAGATGGGGGAGCTCAGGCAAGAGGTCTGGCTACCAAGTGCAATTCTTCCTTGGGCTTATCCTTCTTGATGTCGATGAACCCTCCAAGGTAGTCGCGCCTAATCAGGTCCTCGAGGTGGTGTTGCAGATCATGGCAGTTGTCTGTCTCATGGCCATGGTCCCGATGGAATTCACAGTACTTGTCCATGTTCCTCTTGTTGTTCTGGGACTTCATCTTTTCCGGCCACCTGACGTAGCTGCGGTCACGAATCTGCATTAGAATCTCGGACCAAGGAGTGTTCAAAGGTGTGAAATTTCTATAGGTCGGTGGCAGAGTCCTCGATCTTTGGCCTGGTCGACGGTCTTGTCTCTTGTTGTCTCTTTTTGTCTTGCAGTCATTGGGGTCCCTCCGCTTTGGCGTTGATGTACTTCTAGGTGTGGGTCATCAGCACTGCCACGATCTGAGGAGGATTCTTTGATATGGAGAAGCTGAAGGGAGAGGGGCACAGGCTGTGCATGACAGTTGTGACGGCCAATGACTGGTTCAATGCTCGAACTTGTAGGGCTTCGGAGTTGAATCTCGATAGGTACTCCCTGAGGGATTCTCCCTTCCTCTGCCACACCAGCATGTGGCTTGCCGGAGTCTTCTAGTGTTTTTGGTTGCCTATGAATTACACTAGGAATTAGCTCTCCAGCTGCTCCCAAGAGGAGATAGAACGCGGGGAAAGGGAGAAGTACCACGTCAAAGCCACTCCCTTGAGGGTTGCCATGAAATCTTTGCACACTAGACCTTCAGACGAGCCATGCAGCATCATCTGGGCCTTGAAGTCTTCAAGGTGGTCGTTGGGGTCCGTGGCTCCGTTGTATCTTTCGAATTGCGGGGCTCGCCAACCGGTTGGGGGGAGCTCGTCTACAATGTCCTAGCTGAAGACCGGCTCTTTGGTGGGCCGATTGTTGGGTTCCGTGGGCCAAGGCATGGGAGGAGCCGCACTTCTCTCAACCTAGCTATGCTCTAACTTGGTCAGGCATTGTCTGAGTTCCCTAATCTCTACATCCCTGTTGTCCAGTGTCATGTGCGTAGTCTTCTCTTTCTTGAGTGCTACTGGGCGATCTTTAATCGAACTAGACTCGGCGATGGAGACCTGCTATTGTTTTGTCTGCCTGACAAGCCTTTCTTTCACTGGAATCAAGGCAGATCGGTGTATTCTGGTACGGTCATCGTGTTCACGAGACCGAGCCAAGGAGCCCAATCTTCTTGATGTTTGTTGCCTTTCTTGGTCAGACTACGCCTTACCCTTGTCCGACCGGTGCAATTGAAGAGGGTCAAAGATGATAAAGAAGAAATATTTCTTTTATTTGCTTTTGAAATTATGAAATGAGAGAGGAGTTTGGATTAGATGGATTAGTCATAAAAATATATGTTTAATAAGGTTGACTTGCTATTCAAGAGGCAGTTTAGTCATTAAAAATGCATTTATAGACAACTTCTATCAATGTACGCTAACATGCTTTAACGGATGGTGAATTTTGAAAAACAAAAAAACTCATTAACATGGGGTTACCTGGACATTTTGGAAAGCTATGATGAGTTTAAGAGAAAGGCCGAAAAGTCATAAAGAGTTTTAAACAATTTCCCAAAGAAAAAAAAAAACAAATTTACAAGGAAAGAAGCAAAAATCATTAAATCCAAGTGAGAATATTCAATTATAGCTCCCTTCTGGAGAGAGCATAGATCATTGATATACAAATATTATAATACACATAAAATATAGAGAAGTTAACAACACTAATGTAAAATGGAATGAAGATATACAAATCTATACTACTTTGAAAAGCACAAATGGCCTCAAGAAAATTTCTGGAATTTTCTAAGGGCAAAATTTACCCCTCTATATTTAAATTTATTGATAAAAAATTGAGGGCAAAAAGGGTAATCGATTCTTAATATTAAATGAGTTGAAAAGAGGTAATTTAAAGATATTCAATACATTCAATTCTCTCTCATAAAATCCAATATTTAAGTGATTAACTTGCATTCATGTTCATTAAATCATATATTTAAGTCATTTTTGTTTCTTCTCATCATTAAGTTCTATTAATTAAATGCATACTTAATAAATTAATAATTCTAATAACATAAAAGCTTATACTTTTAAAATTTACCTAGCAAAAATAGTGTTTTCATCTAGGTGGTGGTAAGAAATTAAATCATTTTGGGTCAAATGTGTTAATCCATATTGCCAGGATTAAATAATAAAACTAAAAAATAGATAAAATGAAAAATAATAGAAATTAAACAATAAAAATATTTTCCTATTCTCTCTCATTAAATATATTTAAGATATATTTTTTTCATCATTAAATTCTTGTAATTAAATCTACAATATTAATTTTAATAGTATACAAATAAATATTTTGAAAAGTAATTTGAAAACAAAACCATTTTCTTCCCTCCTGGTGGTGGGTAAGCAATTTGACCATTTGAGGTCAAATGGATTAATAAATAATACAATAATTAAATAATAAAAATTTAAAATAAATAACTATGAAATGTAAAAAGCATTTTTATTAATGATGAATATGTAATGTCAAATTCAAAGCATACCGAGAAATGAAATGATGTCATAGTCAAATAATAAAATTTTTAATAATAGAAAATACAAAGAATCACAAAAAAAAAAGATAGAGAAAATTTCGAGCACATATCTAATGTTTTATATTTATAAAAAAAATAAAATATTGGGTACATCTCTAATATTCTGTATTCATTATATTGAACAAAAATAAGTTTTATAAATAAGAAATAATTTTATCAATGATGGAAATGTAATACAAAATTTAATGTCAACCTAGAAATCAAACAATTTTTATTTTTAGATGGTGGGTTAGTGGTTTGAGTCAAATGATGCCATAGACAAACAAAAATTAAGTGGGATAAGTAAAAAATATTTTATATAATGTAAATGAAATATATAATTTAAAGGAAAAATTATAATCAAAGTCGGTTGCACATTTAAAATTAGGTTGCAGGTTGGTCCAGAAACCAACAAAACTTTGACAATCAGCTCTACATTTCAAATTATAAAAACCCTTGCCATGTCATCGAAGGCTTATGTTGTAGTTGCCAACATGGGACTCTTAGTCCATGTTGGACACAGCGAAAAACCTATAACGAAAAACTCCTCCCTCTGTCTCTCCCATTTCTCAGCTTCAGTTTATAGCCAAATCAAAACCTCTCTTTCTCTCCCTCTCTCTATTGTTTTCCTTCATTCTTCTCCCTCACTCTCCCTCTCGGTCAATATCTCCTTCTCCCTCAATCTCTATTATTCTACAGTTGGTGTAAAATTCATAACCAAGAGCTGCTTGTGATTTTTTATCAAATTGGTGTAATAATTTTTTAACCATACCAAGTTGGTCTCATGTTCTTTTATACGATATGATTAATACCATATAAGTGTGTATGAAAAAAAAAAAAAACGAGAGAGCGAGTGGGAGAGAAACCGAGAGAGAATGATAGAAATTAAGGAAGAATGAGAGATCGACCGAGTAAGAGAATAAGAGAGATTGAGGGAGAACGATAGGTAGAGTGAGAGAATGAGAGAAATTGATATAGAGAACGTAAATACAGAAACCAAAAACCATTTTTATTTATTTTCAAATCACATAGCCATTTAGCATATAAAGATGACTATGAGTGAGAGAGTGCGAGGGAGATTGAGAGAGAGAGAGAAACTAAAAGCCCTTTTTTTTCTTTTTAATTTTCCAATCACCCAAAATTAAAGGGCAATTTCAATATAAGTTTTTTGTTGTGTCCAAAATGTATTAAGAGTCTCATGTTGGAAACAACCACATAAGCCTCCGATGACATGGCGGGGGTTTTTATAATTTGAAATGTAGAGCCAATTGTCAGAGTTTTGTTGGTTTATGAACCAACTTGTACCCTAATTTTAAATGTACAGTTGGCTTTGACTATAATTTTCCCTAATTTAAAACTAATCCAAAAGCAAAACTATTTTCTTATTTAGATGATGGATCAGTGATCAAACTTTTCAAAGAAACCCATAATGTCATAATTGAATAATAAATATTTAAATTTATTTTTAATCATATAATATATCTAAAATTCAAATAATTAATATGAAGAAAAATTTTTCACATACACAAATATGCTTAATTACTAGTACTAAACAAAATAACAGAAATCCTATTAAAATTGAAACTATACTAAGTTTTTATTCCATTACAATGTATTCACGTCATTGATTGAGTTTACTTGAAGCCCAAAACCGTGACTATGATTTGATGGCATATTTTAGGGAACCAGGGATGTGAATGTTCATCAAATAGTTTTCCCACTCAATGCATTTTGGATCAAAACAAAATGTATTTGCTTCAGCAGCATTCTTGAAGGTGGCCATTCGGAGCTTCTCTAAATTTGTATCATCAAAGCTGCATATGTACATACATGACAACAAAAATTACAGTTAATATATCACAGAACCTTTTTTTTTGTCATTTCAATCAACATGAATTTCGGAGAGGATTTGAGAGAAATATCAGTTATAGAAATTGCAAGTAGAGAACATGGAGAGAGATACATACATTCCTTTAAAGAATAAGAATGGCTGGTAAAGCTTCATCAGAAACATTAAATATTTGATTTTCCGATTGAGATCCTTGTATCGGTGTTGGAGATGCAGACAAGATGCTATGTTCAGAACTTGCAAACCCTAAATGAAAAAACAAACAGAAATAAGAATGAGATATTACTTACATGGAAGATCCAAACAATTGATCTGATGTAGGTTTAAACGAAATCGAGCAGCAGATTAAAGATTAATGCCCAATTTAATAAGTAGTACTTTACCTATTCTTTGGAAGATATTGAGATTTATATCCTTTATTAAGTTACATGTATAATTTAGCTTGGCATATTAAAAATTTTCTTCATGCTTGATCCTATCCCATCCCATCCAGTTATACATACATATGGTCACTTTTTAGAATATTAAGTTGAAGTTTTTTGAGAGCGTCTGTTTAAATTTATAATAATATACATATTCATTGATTGATTGAGTATTTAATCAAACTGGTAATCAAATTCAAATCCACATTTTACCTATTTATTAGATATTAATTTTAATTAAAAAATATCAGATTGGTTCAGATTTACCCATACTCAAATCTTTTCCAACTCATTTGAAGCTTTAGGCAATACAGGGAGCCTTTGTGTATATCTTTGATTCAATGGCTTTGAAAACAAACATAATTTTTGTAAGAAGAAATGATTTAAGCATCCATAATTTGACAATGGATATATAAGATTTTAAAAATTGACGTGGAACTGGAATCATTCTGGCCATCGGTTTTTGGGTTAATGGTTCGACTGTTCGGTTCGAATGGATGATCTGTTCTAACTTAAAAATTTTAAAATAATTAAAATAAAAAAAAGGCCAAAACCATTGATGGTCAAATGGTTTAATGATTCAACTGCCTGAGTTAGAAGGTCGCTGATCAATTCAACGGCTTTTGGCCAAAAACCGAATTTAGAATAAAATGGAATCGATTGCCTAAACAGTTTCTGGGTCGAACAATCTGACTGTCAAAATCATTGATAATTCAAAAACACTGGATATAACATTAAACAGAACGGAATGACGAGACAGAATTCATGACGAAGCCGACCCCATATAATTGGGACTTGGGACAAGAGGCTTAGATGATGATTAATATGGTTTTGAGATCTAACCTTCAATGGCAGCATGTATCGCGTAGCCATGTACCTCTGCAATGCATGCTTACTGGTTAGAACTGCATACTTGCGAATCTTGATGGGGTTTCCTTTCTTGTCAATAAATGGATTATTGATAGAGAAGCAGCGGTGAACGTATTCATGAAGTCTGCTGCCTTTGATGGGATTACTTCTAGAGGAACCCACTTGGTAAATGAACTGTTTGGGCTGATTGGCATGGGCAACCATGGCTGCAACCATGGAATTCACCACCATGTCTCCTGGGAATCTGTGAAACCTTGCATCTTATATTGCAATTACTTATTGACAACACTAACAAATTATAAATATATTTGAATAATTTAACATACCAAGTCAATAATCATCTCCAGACCACAAGCCCAGAATGTCAATTTGGCTTTGGCGTATGCAGTCACCATTGCATCAACAGTTCTATAACTCAGAAAACATTAAGCAATGAAAATGCTTTTTAACATCCTAAGATTATGCAGGAAAGATTGTATGTTTTAATTCAAAGAGAAGCTAATTAATTAAGGTTGTGTAGATTACCTGAAACCTTCAATCCAACCTGGGAATGGTTCTCTATAAGTGCTTGTCACAATAGTTGGACGCATGATAACGAGGGGAACATTCTCTCTCATTTGCCCCAGAAGCATCTCACCCATCGCCTTTGTAAACACATAGGTGTTTGGCCACCCATGACAGAAAGAAAAGGAAATGAATTCATTTACAAATAAAATAATAGAATGATGGACACAACACTGTTAAAATTTTGTGAAAAAATGGTAAGAATTAGTATCTACTACCTACTGGGTTTTATGCTCTCCCTTTTGTTTTGTTTTTTGTTTTTTTTTACTCCTTTTCTTATCCAATCCAATCTGCCCAGCCCAGGTCTAGCCTAGGACGGGCTGAGTCTGGGCTTCAAAACACAAGGCCGGAAGGCCCATATTTACATGGTCGAGTTAGGAGTTTCGTTAAACGAATCCATCCATTTTTGACAATTCTGTAAAATTCAGTCCAAAGCATTTGGGATATCTGGTAAATCGGAGTCTCCCCTACGCAGTGGAAGCCGGAAGGTATGGATCTGTTACATCAGCATCAGCCCTCCCGGTGGTTGAAAAGACATAGATTATGTAGGTATTTGGTATAACTTCCGTTTTATTAAATAAATGTTTGTATTTAATTTGTTTTCAAAATCGAGAATAGTATTTGATAAATTGTTTATTAACAAGTAGGCACTACATCAGTAAAACAATGAATAAACACTCAACTATTGGGGGAAGCATTAAAATGAAGCTTCCCCCAACAATTAGGCCAACAATAAATTGAAGGTTGTGATTTACGGTTTAACCCTAAGTTAAAAATCATATATGGACTCACGAAGTACTACATACTCTACATTGTCCACTGGATCACCCATTGAATTTGTGACATGTTTAATGTAAAACTTAGGCTGTGTTTGGTTGCAGTGCAATTTTATTTGCACGCTCCAAGCCAATTTAATTTGTCACTTGTAAGATTGTTTGGCCTTTTCGCTCAAAACAAACTGGCTACAAGGAGGGTCTACAGCTGATATGGGTTGCTGGTGGGTGGGTGAAAGAGAGAGAGAATCATAACTAAGTGTGTGTAAGTGTGGGTGGGTGGGTAAAGAGTTTCTCAAACCAACCTTTGAAGTCCCAACTGTTTCATTGCAAATTTCTCTTCATCTTTTGTTGCTCGCTTTGCGCACAGATGCTGCAAACTTTGTTCGACCATCTTTAGCTCTTTCCTGATGTCTAAACTCGACTTCCCGCTGAGCGTTTCTCCCATTTTGAATGGTTTCTCTAATATGATTCCTGGTTTTTCACCAGCCGCATAAGCTGCAAAACCATGCGTTCTCTTGATTTGTTAAAACCCCATCCCATAAACAAAATAATAAATAAAAGGGAGAATGACTGTTCTAAGAATTTTTAGTTCTACGGTACAATTGGGATAGGTGTCAACTCGGAATTGATGTTAATATACTGGTGGGTACTGCAGGTATTAATGTTTTAAGATAAGAGTATTTATTATCTTAGATCATGCAAGATTGCAGTGAAATTCAAAATTCTACAGTGTAGTACAGTCTATTTTTCTGTAAATAAAATCAGAGGAAAGAAAAACTAAGTATAGGTAGGAAGAATTAATTGTGTACGAACCAGTTGATACATATACAAGCGTCTGCAATTTAACACATCTTTTTGCAAAGTCCAAGACATGCTTAGCTTGATGGAGGGCCAGCTCACCAACCGACGACAGCACTCTCTAGAGTCCTTACGTGATCCAACACCCATAGGATAATGGCGACAGCTCCATGCATTGCATAAGCATTGGAAGGCGGTGACTATCGGACGGTGGAGATAAAGGTAGCATCTAGGAGGACTTCGATCCTAGCTAGAAGACTAGGTGTTTTAGTTGTTTTAGACCTTTACAACTTTTCTTTCCTAGTTACTCTATGAGTTTCCAGATG